AAAAAAAAACAATAACACTACCAGAAAGCTGCCGTCCACTAGGAGCAAGATATCTGAATCTCGGGTAACTGATCATGCAAAAAAGGAAATATTTGCTACTCCTAGAGGAATATGACAGTGCTTAACATTTTACTCTTTATGCTTTTGATAGGTTCTCTTTTACTGGGATTACATGAAATACAAAACAGGAGAAATGTCTGAATTTCTACATTCTGATTAGTGCAGCACTGTCACAAATAGACAGTGCTTATTTGCTTTGTGGCTCATGTGCCTGCACCAAACCACGTGTGACATTAAATACTGCAGTTTTAAGTAATCCACACAACTCTGTGTGTTGGTGGTGGTTGGTTCTTTTTTTTTTTTTTTCTTTTTCTGGATAATCACTGAGAAGGAACAAATCAGCCTCATTTTAAAGGGTTCAAAAATGTATATAATATTTAAAATCTTTATTGATTATGAATCCTTTCATAACGGGCTTGTATCACAATGAAGAAAGTTAAAGGAGGCAAAATCAATTACACCTCTGAAAAATTACAGGCCAGGTAACTGATTTACAGTGTTTTCGACTTGCAACAAAAGACACTGGCTTCACATTTATATAAGAAGACTTCCTCTCCAGTGTGCCTTACAAGTCCATTTGACATGTGGATAATTGTTAAGAATCTCCAAGGAGATATGATTAGCTTTATTTTAACTGCAGATGGGACATCAACAGAGAGCAAATTCATTTGTCAGTAGTTTGTTATCAAGGAGCTCCTAATTTTCAGCCACTTGTGAGAATAACGAATGTTACAAAAACAGATAACTATAAAATTTTGTAGCTTCTCTACCAAATTCTGATTATTATTATTTTTTTTTTAAGCGTGCTGCAATACTGAGGTTTTTTTGATTTAGCTGTACTTCATGGAAGAGCCTTATTTGTCTAAATAGAGGTGTATTTTGAAGGACTGAGATGACAAAAATCTGATCTTATAACTCAACAATTCTTATCACCTGAATGTATACAAAAAGCATCACTAAGTTCCAAGATGAGACCACATGCTACTGAACAGAATTTCTGAAATAAGTGCCACATCTTCACCTTCTCTACAGCAGTATCTGCATAGACAGCAGTGCTTCTGGCTCATGAGAGATGTGTGAATATCATTTGGGTTGGCAGAGTACCTATCTAGATGGTAAGGCCAAAGAGCATAATGCTGTCAGTGTACTGCCCTACCTACTTACATTATCAAATCACAAGAAAACTGCTGATGTGAGCACACATCATATATAATGATGTAACTTTTAACTCTAAGTTCATAGTTGTTTTTTTCTAAACATCATCACTTACTGCCTTCCTAGTTCTTGCAGCAGTATCTTCTGTGATCTGAAATACTTCATCTTTCATCTTCTTTATTTCCTCTTCCTTTTGTTTCTTCTTAAACAGTGCCTAAACAAAAATAAGAACAGAAATATTACTGATAATACTTCAGTTGTGACATCATACCTAGCAGCAAGGAAAGAAACCACACGTAAGAGGTGTTCAGAAGAACTTTCTGCCTTGTGCTTTAGAGCAGCTGACACCAAGACCATACAGAAAAGCAAGAACAGAAACGACATAAAGATCTCTGTTAAGCATTAGAGTACACACAAAGAAGCACACACACTTTCCTAGATAAAGCTGAACACTCTTTTTGTTTTTAAACAACCAATAGACTAAGTCTAAACCAATTATTCCCCCTCCCCCCAAAAAAAGTAAAAATTCATAAGCAGCTAAGAAATGCATATATAAACTATTCCAAAAAGGAAAACAGAGAACCAAAACCAACTCTTCAGTATGCCAAGATGGTGGGAATTTATGTGGGAATCACACCCTCAACTCTGATTGACCACCTGTGGCAAGCAATGAGTCAGCCCTGGGAGCACAGGTGGAGGTAATGGAGCCTGGCTCCACCTCTCCTAGATCCTATTTAAGTGCTGACTGCCACTGAGGAAGCATTTCTTTCTAGAGATGCCATCTGCTGGAGAATGTTATGAGCCTACAACATCAGTAAGCATTTTTTACTTATTATTTTTCTGTTATGATAATTTTACTTAGCCTGATACTCTGTATGTCAAGTCATTTTATAGCTGTTTACACTTACTAATTGTACAAAGTTATAGAATACAATTGTAGTAAGGAATCCTTCTAGGATCCATACAGGATTCCAGAGGATGAAGGAAAGGTATTGCTGTTAAATGAGAGATGCTGGTCTAGAAAAATTAAAAAATCACAGAGCTCATGGTAGAAGTGATGAAAAATCCTAGGTAGCATAGAGAACATATATGATGTAGATGGGTGAAAGAAGAAATGTGTGGGAAAGGTCACTAGAAGATCTGAATTCAGTCTGTAGAAGGTTCTCCGGTCATGACATGGCACTTCATGTGTCACATTCTCTTCAACTGCTCCCATTCAGTTTGTGTTGTGTTTCTCAAAGTACTCTTAGAATTCTTCTGATCTCATTTTGTAAGCTTAGCTTAGGTGCTTCACAATGTTAGCATG